GGAAAGGTCAATAGCATAGGTTGAAGTGGATGCAATGATCGAATGTCATGCCCGTGTTTAACTTAACTCTGAGAGATGTATGTTTTAAATACAAGGTGATAAATTGACCCTGGTTTTAATATTACTTCCAAAGATAGGATTACTTTGAAACATAGGTATGGATCAAAAGCAATACTGAAGTAGAGTAGGGTAAACTACTGACCTTACTGAACTAATGATCTTTATGGCGCAGCAGGAAATTTTACGCTCTTAGAATAATTGGTTCAAAAAAAAAAAAACTAACCACGAAGAAGTTGATATCATCCTTTTGATTGTCCTCATCCTTTTACCTTCACGTAGAAAGAGTATACAGATTAATTCTGTAAAAATTTCACTGCTAGACATTTTTTCCAATTGCAGGATTTTATGGCATTTGTAAAAGACAAAATTTCGTAAAACTCCCTGACTTGAGGAAATGTGCCTGTCGCGCAATTTAAAGTGGTTTTCAGTTTATAGCAGTATTTGATCATATTGTTTAGGAAGCACGCCTTGAGAAAGTAGTTGGTGACTTGATTGATTAGTGGTACAACCTTGAGATGTATATAGCTGTGTGAAGTGTTATTGTAGATTCAACAAATTGGTTATGTAATCAAAGATTCTGTATTAATTGATCATTCTGGTTATGTAGGTTCTGGACTGGATCAAATATAGATGATATATTATGTACTTTGGCCAGTTAATAATGTCTTGCATCTGAATGATATTGATCAGTGGGTCATTATCAACAAAACAATGCCAAACTATTTTTCAGATAATATGTTGCAAAAAAGCGCGGTGATGATATACAATTATGATATTTTTCAGATCAAACATGTTCATATCTGTTATGTGTATCTGTGTGGTGCAGTGCCCAATTTCAAAACTAAAACGATTGTTAAAAATATATCTTAAAATGTAATTTTTATATTTTTTTTTTGAAAAGTTAAAGATGTTTGTCTCAGCTCAAAATCAAAAATGCCAAATGTGCATTTCAAAGATGAAAAAGTTTTTCATTTTTGAAGCATTTCCGTTGAGCTAGGAAGACTTGTTTTATGTTTTATGTTTTATAGAAATATTTTAAGACGTTGCATTTTTGGAATCATGTTTGTTATTTTTGAAACTCAACTTTTAGCTGAGAAGACATGTTTGACATGTGTTATTTTCATTTCATTAATTGGTACCACAAAATGTCTCATCAGGACAATACCTTAGAAAAGGTTGAGGGGAGGGTGGAATTTGAAAAAACAACAAAACTACTTGAATATATACTTGAAAGAGGAAAGAAAAAATTATAATAACATCATTGTGGAAAACAAATTTGACTCAAATTTCGATGAAGGAAAAATATTATTTGCACTGTAGTTCTACCCCCCCCCCCCCCCCAATTCCTAATGGTCAGTCCCTTAACACATCATTTGCTGATTGAAGTTTGTTTTACCCTATTTATTTTGACTGTCTGTGGAGACTTTTAGATCATGACTGTGGTATTACATGCAATAACAATATACATGGTTCCATTCAACAATTTTCTTGGCACATCTACTGTAAAACCATTAATATGGTGTTTTATTGGACTATTTTGATGCTTTGGACTATTTTGATGGGTTTTAAGTTCACAAACTTGGCAACAATGATTCCTGTTGTAATTTTGCATGTACATGTGGATTGAAATTAAGCTTATTTTCAGTTATTGTCTAAAATAACAAATAATTAACGGGCGACAGTCGTCGTGTCGCGTCCTGTTCGATATGGGACTCATAGCGACGTATACAACGCATGTAAAATACATTGTTTATTTACATGAAATTTGAACACGCGCTGCACAGCGACCACTGCGCTTTAAATGTGTTTGCAATAAAGGCCAGAGTTTTGGTTTTGTGCTATGAAAAGTAATTATATACCCTGTGTACAAATTACTCATACATGTACTTGCAGATTAATATTTTCTCATACTCTCGTCTCTATTGTCAGTATTGGAAGCTTGGTTATTGCATAAAACACGTACAGTGTATTTCTGTAAATCAAAACTTGATTTTCTGCTTACAGACTTCAAATTCTGTCTGAAGTTCAACTTAAACCATAGAACATGAAAACTCTTCTATCAAAATGAATTAATCTCAGTTGAGAGTGTTATTTAATGGATTTGAGTGTTTTTAATCTGTCAGTTACTTGTGATTAAGGACCCAGTTGCTTCCGTCCACTCAAATTTTAAATGGTGAAAACTGATTGAGTTTTTACAACTCTGGTGTCAATGTACGATTAAATATTTTTTTTTTTTTTTTCATATCATGATATTGAAATTTGCCAGGTATAGTACTTACAACGTCTGTCACAAACAATTATTTGTTCGTTCAAATGATTTTTATTCAATTTTTCTCAAACTTGGTTATATAATCAACCAGGGTGAACTATCAATCAAGTTTTATTGTCGTATTATCATAAGTTAATCTCTTTTGTGTTTGTATTTATTTTTTTAAAGTGTATACTTTTTTGAGAAATTACATGATTGTTTCTAGGTGTCAGATCAGATTATATCAAGATGAAATATTACAATGAATTTCATGAAGGCATAAATTCTTTTATGAATTGTGAGTGTTTTCAGGGTAAATTGTCTATGAATTTACTTACCAGTTAAAAATGTTCATGCCTTCATGAAGTTAACTGTATGAAAGACCATCTCATAAAGGCTCAAAATGTTTTCTATCTTATTTCACAAATAATTCCCTCAGCAGCCCCCCCCCCCCTCTATAAATTAAAACATTTATTCACATGCAGACAAGGTTTCCAGTTTATAAATTGTTCCCAAGGAATGTGTAAATAACTTTGATCTTGAATCCTACTGATACAAATAAACTTGAAA